AAAACCTCTTCTCATCAAGTGGCTTGGTGAATATGTCGGCAAGTTAATCATCGGTGCCCACACTCTCAATGCAAATGTTGCCCTTTTGTTGGCGATCTCTTATGAAGTGATGGCGAATATCAATGTGCTTTGTTCTTGAGTGTTGAATGGGGTTGTTGGTAAGCTTGACGGCACTCTCATTGTCACATAGCAATGGCACTTGCTTGAAGTTGATTCCAAAGTCACTCAAAGTTACCTTCATCCAAAGTAATTGAGCACAACAACTATCGACGAAGATGTATTCGGTCTCGGCGGTAGATAGTGCTACACTATTTTGTTTCTTTGATGACCATGACACAAGTGATCTTACAAGTAATTGACAAGTGCCTGATGTGCTCTTCCTATCAACCTTGCATCCCGTATAATCTGAGTCGGAGTATCCAATTAGCTCAAATTGTGACCCCTTGGGATACCAAAGTCCAACATTTTGTGTATGCTTGAGATATCTCAATATCCGCTTGGTTGCCTTCAAATGACTCTCTCTAGGAGAAGCTTGGAACTTTGCACACATGCATACACTAAACATGACATCAGGCCTAGAAGCGGTGACATAGAGTAGGCTTTCAATCATAAACCGATATAACTTTTGATCCACCATGTTGTCACTTGTATCCAAGTCTAAATGACCATTTGTACCCATTAGTGTGTGGATTGCCTTTGCTTCATTTAAGCCAAACTTTTTGAGCATGTCTTTGATGTACTTGCCTTGACTCATAAATGTGCCATTCTTCATTTGCTTAATTTGAAGACCAAGGAAGTAACTAAGTTCACCAATCATGGACATCTCAAATTCACTTGCCATTATTTCTCCAAACTCTTCACAAAAGTTTTAGTTGGTTGATTCAAAGATAATATCATCTACATTGATTTGCAACACAAACAAGTCCTTGCCAATCTTCTTGGTGAACAAAGTGGTGTCAACCTTTCCCATCTTGAACCATTTAGAGAGTAGGAAGTCCCTCAACCTCTCATACCATGCTCTAGGTGCTTGTTTCAATCCATATAATGCCTTCTTGAGCTTGTAAACATGGTTGGGCTTCTTGTCATCTTTAAAACCGGGTGGTTGCTCAACATAGACTAACTCATTGATGTATCCATTCAAGAATACACTCTTCACATCCATTTGATAGAGCTTGATGTTATGGGTACAAGCATAAGCAAGTAAGATTCTTATTGCTTCTAATCTTGCAATTGGTGCATATGTTTCTCCAAAGTTAAGACCTTCTACTTGAGTGTAACCTTGAGCTACTAATCTTGCTTTGTTCCTCATAACTATGCCATCTTGATCTTGCTTGTTTTTAAACACCCACTTGGTACCAATCACATTGTAGTTCTTTGGTCTTTCTACCAATTCCCAAACTTGGTTTCTTGTGAAGTTGTTTAGTTCTTCATGCATAGCATTGACCCAATCCGCATCCATCAAGGCATCTTTAATCTTGGTTGGCTCAATTAATGAGACAAATGAATAATGCTCACAAAATGAAGCCAATCTTGATCTTGTTTGCACACCTCTTGAAATGTCACCAATGATATGATCTAGAGGATGATCTCTTGCTATGTTTGTAGGTTGGAGCACTTGAACTTGATGGCTTGAGCTAGGTTGATCACTTGGTTGATTCACTTGAGTTGGACAAGCCACTTGTTGATCTTGCATTTGATTGCCATTGACTTGATCTTGAGAACCATTAGCTTGCACATTGGGTTGAGATAGTACTTGAGCTTCATCATCTTCATCATCAACCACTTGTCTTGGCCTAATGTCACCAATGTCCATTTCTTTCATTGCATTGATCAATTGGGAGCCTCTCACATCTTCTAAGTTCTCAACTTCATCTTGAGAGCCATTGGTTTCATCAAATTCCACATCATGCACCTCCTCAAGAGTACCACTAGCCAAGTTCCAAGCTCTATAAGCCTTGCTAGTTGTGGAGAAACCAAGTAAGAAGCCTTCATCACATTTTTTTGTCAAACTTCCCAAGTCTCTTGCCTTTCTTCAAGATGTAGCATTTGCAACCAAAGACCCAAAAGTATGCAATATTTGGCTTTCTTCCATTCAATAGCTCATAGAGAGTCTTCTCCATCATGGGATGACAATACAGACGGTTGCTAGAGTAGCAAGCCGTATTCACTACTACACTTAGACCTATCACAGACATGTCGTAACCTCCCTTCGCAGCCGTATTTTGGCCTCGTCAGTAAGCACTCGACAGAGATGGTCATAGCCCTCACTGTCGGCTCCGTGATCGACTGTGGCCTACACTAACACTGCCTTATTGGCTTCTGATCCGCCCGTGATCAGATCCTTACTTCTATCGTATTGGAGCATGACCCGCCTGTGTGGTACGCACTAACACCGCCGTATAGGCTTATGATCCGTCTGTGATTAGGTCATTGTTTCTGTCGCATTGGAGCACGACCCGCCTGTGTGGATGTACAGTAACACCACCGTGTTGGCTTATGATCCGTTCGTGATTAGGTCGTTGTTTGCGTCACATTGTACCATGACTCGCCTGTGTAGAGGACATCATCACAGTCATTCTGATGTATTACCCATCTATTTGAATGGCATTACCACCGTCGCCGGTATTGACAATATATTTATTAATTAATTCAGACGGACCATACTAATAGCTACATGACACAACATGCAGATATATTCATCAAATCCATATATCATGTTAACATACAATAGTACTTTTGAAATAGACGACACGCCGACATTAGTAGCTAGGACACAGATGCAGGATTTAAAATGTTGTTGATAATTAACAAACATACATGATAATTAACACACCTCATGCGCCTGGTCTTCATCTACGACCTCTTCCAAAATAAGGCCGTGTTTGGCTCGACTCTCCGGGGCTCCGGCTCCTGTACAAATGAACGTGGATTGAGAAGGAGCTACCGAAGCTACGTTTGTGGTGCTCCGCCGGCTCCGCCATAGTACCCGCACAGTGGCAGAGCCGGAGCCAGCGCGAGCTCCACCAAACGCACCCTAAAAGTAGACATGCGTTCTTGAAGTGCCTCCTTCACTAGTCACCTTCCTTGCATTGACGGCAGCATGGACCGCAAGAAGGCAACTTGTGGAGAGAGGGCTAGTGATCAATAAGATGATGTGACAGGTACTGGGAACACGATTCAGGCTGTGTTTAGTTCATGAATTTTGAAAATTTGGCTACTGTAGCACTTTCGTTTTTATTTAGCAATTAGTGTTCAATCATAGACTAATTAGGCTCAAAATGTTCGTCTCACAATTTCCAACCAAACTGTGTAATTAGTTTTTTTTCGTCTACATTTAATGCTACATGCACGTATCGCAAGATTCAATGTAATGGCTATTGCAACATTTTTTGAAAAACTTTTTGGAAACTAAACAAGCCGTCAAAGGTGTACCCAATAACCATGACATCAGTAAAGGAAGTAAATTAAATATACTTTCTTTGTCCTTAAATATCTATTGTTTTCGTTTTTCGAGAAATAACTTTGACTAAATAATTTTTAAATAATATTAATATTTTTGGTACATAATTAATATTATTGGAAAGATCTTTGAATCTAATTTTTTTAATAAATTTATTTGGAGATACAAATGTTATACATATTTTATATAAATCGAGTTAAACTTATGGCACGACAGTTAGGTGGTGTTGGGATCCAGTAACTAAAATTTAGGAGGTGTGTCGGAAGGATGTTGCATGGGGTGTTCGGATACTAATAAAAAAACAAATTACATAATCCGTCGGTATTCCACGATGCGAAATTTTTAAGCATATTAATACGTCATTAGCATATATTTACTGTAGCACTACATTGTCAAATAATGGACTAATTAGGCTTAAAAGATTCGTCTCGTAAATTAGTCGCAAACTATACAATTAATTTCATAATTAGTCTATATTTAATACTTCATATATATATCAAATATTCGATGAGACAGCGACTAAAATTTAGGAGGGACAACTAACACCACCTTATTTAGGAACTGAGTGAGTATGTGGTACAGTGCAGTATACTGTTGCTTGTTTACTATAGCGCCTACCAGTGCAGTGGTAAGTGGCCTTGTTTGGATTGTAATTTTTTTTTAATCTGGACACTGTAGCACGTTTTATTTGTATTTGATAAACTTTGTCCGATCATGGACTAATTAGACTCAAAAGATTTATCTCGTGATTTACAACCAAACTGTGCAATTAGTTACTTTTTTTATCTATATTTAATGCTCTATACATACATTCAAAAATTGATATGATGAAAAAAGAGTGAAAAAACTTAGAACTTTGAGATAATCTAAATAAAGCCGCAGTACTCCTTCGATAGGGTAGTACACTTGACTGGTTAAAAATGCACACTTTATTGGTTAAAAATGCATAGAGTACAACTGGTCATGTACAAGGTGGCATGCTACTCGTCGAGGGGATACAACATGTCAAATGCACCTAAAGCCTAAAGGAGGTCATGAGGTGAACACCTCCTCCGACCTCCGGCGAGACCCCAGCGGCGGCGCGCCTGGCGCATCTGTTCGCCGGACGCCGGTTCGAGCGACGGAGGGACGAGCGAGGAAGACAACAGCCTCGCCGAAGGGGTCTTTTTTCTGTTGGGCTATGGGCTTCTCTTCAGCTCTTCTTGCCTTCTCGGTGTGGGAGCGTGGGCCGTCGGGTGGGCGTGTGGCCCATCAGGGCATCAGGCATCACCGCGACACCGCGTCATCCCTCGACGGCTCGACCCTCGCCCAGGCACTGCGCGGCCTTCGTGACTTCGTCCTTCGCTGGCTGCAGGGCTGAACGCCTAAACCCTAGGTCCCTACTCCGCCGCCGCACGCCGCCGCCTCCCACCGCCGGTGCGCCCCTGCCCCGCGCCGCCGCCGCACTGTGCACAGTGCTACAGTGGCGCGCAGGCCGTCGTTCGCCATGGTCTCTGGTCTGCCCCACCTAAAATTCTAGGTGAGCTCCGCCACTGGCGCCATGCCACCGCGAAAGCGCCCGGCGCCGCCGCCGGAGGAGCCCTCCCCTTCCTCGAAGCCTCAACCTGACGCACAGCCGTCCGAACCCTCCAAACCCTCCCCCGATTCCGAGCAGCCGACCATCTCGGCGACGATCCTCGCCCAACTGCCCTCCCAGGAGCGCCTGGCATACAAGCTCATCTTCGAGGCGGGCAACAAGGGCATGTGGATGCTGGACATCCGCAAGAAGTTGTTGATGGGCCCCAACATCGCCACCAAGGTCGTGCGCACCCTCGTTACGCAGGGGCTCATCAAGGAGGTCAGCGATGTGCGCCACCGCAGCAGGAAGATCTTCATGGCCACCGACTTCCAGCCCTCCGTCGAGATCACCGGCGGCACCTGGTACCACAACGGCCGCCTGGACACTGACGCCGTAACCACTGCGCGCCGCTGCTGCCAAGCGCAGGTCGAGAGGCTCGGCGCCGCAACCGCGCAGATGATCCACCACGGCATTCTGAAGGACGATCCGAGGGCCGGGTACACTATCGACAAGATCAGGGATATCATCAAGACCATGGTTCTCGACAAGGTCCTCGAGGAGGTCAAGAGCACCGGCACGGGGGAGTTCACGACCGTCAGGGCCGGCACAATGTGCTACCGGCTGGTGACTGGGGCTCCGCAGGGAGGGATGATGGAGGGAATTCCTTGTGGGGTTTGCCCCAGGATTGATGAGTGCTCGCCGGAGGGGATCATCTCACCGAGCACCTGCGTTTACTACAAGAAGTGGCTGCAGATGGACTTCTAGGCGGTGAGCCCTCTTCTGCTGTACCTGTGTATCACGATGGAGTGTTGGAGTCCATTTGAGAATTCAGTTTGACATTGAACAGTAAACAGTCCACAATTATTGTTCACCAGGTTTGCATCTCAGTGCTCGCTCATGGGACACTTTGGTCAAGTTTACTAGCACTCAGTCCCCCTTTAGGATGTTCAAAGACCAACAAGAGATATGGTCCTTCAATCTGAGTCCTTGATTGTCTTTCCATCAATATTGGGGGACAACATTCTCTTGCATTGTGAATTTGTGATCTAACATCCAAACCTGTTCGTACAAAACATGTTAGTCACAACTGCATGGTTGTTATTAACCACCGAAACGCACCACTTATCTTGTTTATTGCTTGACTGATTTTTGTATTGTTGATTGAATTCCCCATGCCTGGTCTTTTGCCTATCTGAAGAAAATCTATTAAAACCTTGAATCTATATTTTCTGCAACCATCCATCCGTTATTTTCCATACCAGGTGGAAGCCCATGATTTCCATAAACTGGTGTTAATTGTTCAGTTGCCAGTGGGATCCTAAACCTTGATATTGATTGTATTTCACTTGGTACAAAAACAAAATTTGGGGTAACTTGAAGTGGGTACTATGTACTTCAGGCTTCTCAAATAGTTTCGTGTTTTCTTTTTTGCCGTTTGATTTTTTTAATTTTAAGCAAATTATGCATAACAACTGACCATAGCTGGCTGGCTTGCTGTAAGTGTTCATGCACTGAGTGTCATAGCAAGATCTGGCAAGGATTGTTAAATTAGTTTTTCATGTATGTGATAGAAATCATGGTACTGGAATTGCATCCAACTGCACTTTGCATGTGAAATCTGAGTACCAAATATGGCTCCCCTTCTGTCTGTGGCGAGGTGACAGCAACCGGTTGTTTTGTTACCACCACGGACAAGCTAATGTCAATCCTCTCCGCGGGTAGGATTTTGAGAAAAAGTGTATCGGACATTTCGGAATTGGTGTTATGTGAGTTAGACTTTGCTTTATTGGTTCTGGGTAATTTTATTATTTTCAAATTGGTAAATATTTTCCCATTTCTCCATACTTTCACCATAATAAACCAGCAAAACAAGAATGCATTCGGGCTGATTCCTGGCTAATATTGTATGGTCTTTCCTCCATGATCTTTTGCTCATGGCATTACTAGCAGGCAAGCAGCTTTATAAGATTCACATGGTTGTGCTTTTTCAAACACCTCGTGCACATAATCATAGTGTACCATTTTTGGGGGAAAGGATGTTCTGGTCCCATGTCGTTATTGCTATGAAAATGTACCTTCTCCTTTAGTTTTTTTTTCTTTGGATTATTTTCTGATGATGAAAATGAATTATGTCCTGCTCAACCTCATAGCATGTATGGAATTGTGTTCTCATTTCGATACACATCGAGCCTGCTTGTTGTGTCAGGACTGAAGCTAGTGAAATAGCATAAATATTTAGGACTCCTTACTCATAATTTAACTGTTCTACTTGCAGATCTCCCAGATTGGCACCTCAGGTATCTCAGGTTCCTATGTTGAGCTAAGGGCATGATGGGAAGTCTGCAGATCAGAACCATGGAAATCATCGATGAGCTGAGGAAGTCTGTAGATCAGAATATGTCTTTCTGCATTTTCCTTTCCCCTTTGTAGTTACCGTGGCAATAACAATGAGATCATCAAACAGCTGTGCATTTTAAGTAACTCGAGATACTCCCGTCTTTGTGTCTGTAATAAGAACGTGTTTCATGTGCGTGAAACTTGTCAATTCTGTTAATTTTTGGCATGCGCCTGACTTCTTGTTCAACTGGCGTGAATTGTATACTTCGTTCATGAAGCACTGATCATATGCCTTCGCTCGCAACTCAACTTCCTTCAGCATTGCAGAAATACAGTGATCTGTCATTTTTTTATGCAAGGGTTTAACCATCTATGTGATTGCTATTTACTAACTAGTGGATTATAGCATGTTAAATCATCACTAAGATACAAAATGTGTTATATATAATTAAAATGATGTGAAAAATGAGATTTAATGTTTACTTATTGTTATAATAATCTGAGTTTCATTAGACCTTTTGTTTAAATCCCAAGATCCACAATAAATGTTAGATGTAATAAAGGATTAATTCTGCATAGAAAATTAAATAAATATTGATTCAGCTAAAATATATCTACTTGTTATGAGGTTGAGAGAGGTGAAAAAACGAGCCATACCGAGTGGCAATGAACACGGGCTCGTCAGATCAGACCACGACATGCGTGGTGCGTATAAGGGAGACAGCTAGGCTATAGATATAGATTGTATGCCATATGTAAAAAAAAATCGCTCATTTTAATACTAGGTTCAGATATAGATTTAACTTCCTCCGTCCTAAAATAGTGTGTTATTACTTCTAAAATGCATTTTATGTGGTGCCCATGTTCATATTTGGCAAAGCTTATTAAAATAATTTAAGAAACTCCTTAATTGGGTTTAATCTATGAGTACATGTCATTTGAGTGTTCTTTTAAGTTTGTTAAAAAATTTCTAGAATGCATTTTATTACAAAACAGAGGGAGTATGTCATAATTGTTTGGGAGATTATTTGTTAATTGACAAGGAGCCTTCTCACAGTAACAGGACAGGTGGCATATAAATGGAGACGGCTAACAAGTGGCCTGAAATTATTTGCTACGGTTTATAAAACCCTGAAAAAGAAAAGCTCACTGATTTCTATTTTACACAGTAATGTATCACCAGTACTGGTACAAGTATACAACATTGGCCAGCTGGTATTTTGCTTACAGCTATAACATGAGGGGGCACGGCTAAACTTGCATCTCATGGGCCGAAGCAATCCAAGAGGAACGCGTGACACGAGCAGTAATCTTCAAGCGGTTGGTCTGCAAACAATAGCAGCATTTTGGTTTTATCTGAGCCATCATCGGCCAGCTACATGAACTTCTCTAACTTAGTCACTGATGGAGCTCATGATGTTTGAGGCAATGGCGATGCTGCTCGTGACCACTGCCAGAAAGATCATCGTTGCTGCCAATGCCTTGTCCTCGCACTTCGCTATTCCATGAACATCCCTGCAGAAAAATCGAGTGTTAGATTCTATAAGCTAACATAGCATTGGTTGACAATAGCATCTTTGTTTTTCAAATCAGGGTAACAGTAGTTCATATAGCACAACTTCTAACTAAGGAGTAGTTCATACACTTCAGGTTTTGATTGCTATGTATATGTGAGAATGTGGAGTAGGACAACGTAGCTTTGGCACACTTTTGGCATATTGGCGCTATACCCTATACATATACACCACCTGGCTGTCCACTTGGAGTACATTTTCAAGAATTTCCTCGAACATGAATATGATGCCCTTTCTGATCATATTGACCTTGCTACGGGCAAACAGGTTTGATTTTACGAAATCAATTGCCTGATATTATTTTTAGTCACACAACAAATAAAAGCATGCTGCCTTACTATCTTACGTATTGTATCAGAAAAATCAGTTCTGGCTCATATGTTTGCAATACTTGTTGCTTACCATTACTTTCTTGCTTATTGCATCATGCGGAAAATGACCGATTGCGCCTCTGAACATTAAACTCGACATCAATTAGGTCAGTCATACCAGCTTTGATCTTCTGACCTACTCGGACAGGACCCACACCCTCAGGAGTACCTGTAGGGGAACTAATGAATAACCCACAGAAAGACCTCAGATGCACAAAAACAAGCTGAGCATAGAGAAAATGTCACTACCTGTTAGTATCACATCACCCTCCATTAATGCCATGATGGAACTGATATAGCTGATCAGAAAAGGAATCTTGAATATCATGTCCCTTGTGGATCCTTTCTGTCTTAGTTCATCATCTACCTGGATACAGTTGGTAGTCAATTGTACACCATATGCTCTATCACTTCAGGCAACATTAAAGAAATTCAGTACATATTTGCAGAAATACCTTTAGTCAGAGCTCGAGATCGTCGGGATTAGTGACAGCCGATTTTGGAACCTGATTGATGGAGAAATTATCATTAGCTGAAGTCAAAACATGGTGTGTCATACTGATGGGATTACACATTTCATGTCACTAGATGGCTGCGGAGAACACAGAAGGCAACAAAGATGAGGTGTCTCTTATCTAACAACCCTTCTGCACCGACTAATACTTCTGAGCTGACTAACTTCAATATGGCATTGATTCATTGAGGTGTAATTATAACAAGCGAACACAAATAAATAAAACATACTGTCCTGAGCCACCAACCAACTCCAAGCACATGAAGAAAAATCATTGCTTACTACTGCACTAATTGGAGTGAAGGTGTCTTGTCCTTTAGCCAAAGTCCATGGAAGGCCAGCAGACTGCAAATTAGTGGATGTTGAGTATGATAAGAAAATTAACGGTATAGTTCTCTTTAATATAAAAGCATCAAGAGGTTGAGTCTACTTAAGGTCTTGGCAACCAATTGATGCTACCAGATTTGTACAACAAAATATATTTAGAAAACATTATGTGAAACGAAATATATTTGATGGATGAAGGATGTAACTAGCTCGACTAAAAGCATCTGAATCTTTGCTATTCATCAATAGATATGATCATGGGGAAGATCCACTATTGAGACTAAATTGCAAAGTTAGTTACTGAATATGTAAATTGAATGTTTGTATGATCATACATAAGATTCAACAACCACTAGGGATGACAGATGACACTACAACAACAGTAATTGAACAAGTAGTATTGAGGCTCAGAAAAAAACTACAGAAAGTAGAAAACTCACCTTAGCAACAGATTGAAGGTCCCTTGCTGTCATGTCCAAAGCAAGTGCATAACCTGGAAAATTCAATGATGCAAGCAGTTATCACATATTTAGTTTGTCGCCAACAAATGCTTTAAACTGCTCAGTTCAAAAGAATAAAAAAAGAATGAGGTAAGCACAAAGGAGACTATATATTGTAAGCTTTTAGCTCAAATTCACCAATGATGAAGAGAACAGAATACAAATAGTTACCAGTCAGGCCATAAAACCACAAATCCACAATTGTACAAGAAAACATAGTTCAATTCACGAGTTATGTATTTCTATATTCCATGAAACATACTTTTAAATTGCTCGCTTGCACTTTCCACCAAACTTGTTATCAAGAAGCTAGAATTGCTAAAATCCATCTGTTTCTAGCTTCCATCACACCATCACTCCTCGTCACAATAAAGTAGTAAGGCCAAAATAACTCTCGATGATCCTAAATACTCCTTTCATTCCAAATTATAAGATGTTTTGGCTTTTCTAGACACATTGTTTTTACTATGCATCTAGACATAGTGTATATCTATGCATAGCAAAAGCTATGAATTTAGAAAATCCAAAACATCTTATAATTTGGAATGGAGGGAGCAGTTTCCAGAGCATGAACATTTCCTAGAATCCTAATGGACCTTTCTGAAAAATGAAACCATAGGATTTTTTTAGTACACTTTGGCACTTTGCAAACATACGAACTTTTCTCTATAAACGAGAATACAAAGCCTTACTATCTCACGAAGGGCTCATCGTTAATTGTCTCAGGTCTTACCATTTCAATGAGATTACAAAGCATGAACATATCTCACGAGTCACGAAGGCTCCATGGTTGTGACGCAATTCTCAAATTACCTCCGACGAAATCCATGGCGGACGCCTCAGGAACGTCGCGCCCGCGCCGGGAGATAACGACGGCGAGCTCGACCTCGTGGTGTAGCGACTCGAGCGGCTCCGGGATCTCGACGGCGGCGGTGGCCACGCCAGCGTGGAGGAACGACGAGGTCGGCTTCAGGAACAGGACGGGCTCCGGCAACAGCAACACACCCAAACACACGCGAGATCATTCCAGATTCCAGAGGCAGCGCGGGAAGGAGGGGGGAGGGAAGTTGGAACTCGGAAGCGCGGCAGCGTTTTGGGATCGAGGATGGGAGGCGCGCGGACCGCGCATTGGGGACCGGGTTGCCGAGCTCCTTGGCGTGGGCGATGTAGTTGCGCCCAACGCCGATGATCTTCGTGATCGCCGCGAGGAGCCTCTGCGCCGCCGCAGCCGCCATGGCCGGCAGGGTTGGTGCCTTGGTGGACCGGAGGTGTCGAGGAGGGAGTAGAGGTGACGGAGAAGCAAATTGGTTGGTAGCTTCTGACTTCTGAATAACGATTCGCACTAATGACTTGGGCCTTTCAGCTAATGGACCCACTGTCTCGCGTTAACAATTTACAAACAAAACGACGCTACTAGCAAACAGAGTACCAACAAACCAGTGCACTCCGTTCGGCTGCTCGTTTCAGCCGGCTTTATCAGCCGTACCGCGACTTATTTCTCTCTGACGTGATACTATTGAATCAGCCGTAAAAATCATAAGTCGAACGATAAAGTTAGCCATAAAAACCATAAGTCGACGATATTAGGTCAGGCATGTGTTTTGTTAGATTCCAAAAAATTTTACGTACGGGACCAAACAGAGTCCTTATCTTGCGGTTTAGTGCATGGCAAAATTTTTGGTTTGAAAAAAAGCTAATTGCTTTTCGTTTGGATGAGAAATTAGAGATTAAACTTTTGAACCTAATTATCCATAATTAAACACTTCGAAAGTTTCAAATACAAACGATTTCTCACCCAACTATGTCAAATCCAAAAATTTTGGATCTAAACGGGGCCAAAATCACACAAGCATATCGACTCCATTAGGTCAGGCATGTGTTTTGTCGCAGGCCAGGAAGAATTAAACCAACGGGACCAAACAGAGTCCATAGCCTCATCAGTAGGAGACTAGCAGTAATATTAGCCTTGTCATCGTCCGCATCAGCCTCATCCTCCTGTCAGGCATAAGCAATTGCCATTTGACGTTAACAAAAGATTGGTATAGGCGCATAGAGTGTGTGTGTATATATATATATATATATAGGGGCAGAAACTTAAGTAGAAACAAATCAACCCAAAGTTTACATCTGCATCAAGTAATAAATCACTCTACAAATTCGTTTGAGAATAAGTCGGCCGAACATGGCCATACTTTTAATGTGTCATTAGTGTTTTTCTCTTAAAGAGGAACATTGCAAGTTAATAAAGAACTGAATAGTAATCTAATCCCTACCGAAGGGCATGGACCATAATGTCGTCGTCGTCACATCGAATGTTTAGATACATGCATGGGTATTTGCAGATTCCTGGCAAAAGAGGAACATTGCAAGTTAATACTGAACTGAATAGTACATCTAATTTTGTTTCGAAAGAGAGGGCTACGCTACGCTAGGGCATGAGTACACTAACACTGTCTCTGAGAAGAACAGGGATGGCATTGCACAAAGGATAGTGTGTAACTCTGTATACCTCCTCAAGCCTCTTTTTCTTAGTCTTGTCAAAGGCAGCCTTCTCAGCCTGAAACAGATCATTATTTTAGTTGTTGCAATTAGGAGTGTAGAGTACAAAACAGTGACCCTATATAGACAAGTTGCCATATATCTTTGTGCTTGTCCCAGGTCTCCTCTCCTGATTTAACCTAGTTTTGTTTTGTTGGCTAGCCGGCTAGCCCCATGCTACTTTTTCACCAATGAAGTCAAAATTCAGTATTGATAGCATAAGCTATCAGCCGGACAGCGGACAGTGCTTTGTATCACAGAGAGACTCTGACTGACCACAGATTACCGAGTGCCCGAATCAGTGGATGTGGAGAGTTGTTGACAAAGACCTGAGAGGCTGAGACATGCAGGATGAATCAGCTGCAGAGCAGTTTCACAAAGATCTGCAGGAAGCTCACTGGCGAAGACATCACAGTATAAACTAGTATTCGCTACACGATCACTTATCTCTAGTTATCTATCTGCAGATGCCAACTCAATTGGTCGGCACACTTTTTTATTCCCTTTCATGATGAAGATTAAAGTGCACTCACAATCACTTAGAAAGTACACCATGAATGCTAACTTGACCACTTTTTTCCCGAGTTCATGCACACATAATACATGATGCTGTTGACCATTTCTTTTCTGTATCATGTACTAAAAGAAAACTGAAGAAACATAATTGCTTTTGTTTCATGATTACAGTAACATTTTTTTATCCTTTAGCCTACTGACACTGGTAGTAAACGTAGTCTATTAAACTTAACATTCTTCTAGAGGTTGTAGTTTAAACTCGGTGTACACAGCTCTGTTTTTTCTTTTAAAACATGTCTTGTGGGATTATCGCCAGCAGCATTAGCGCCAAAAGTAGGATTGTCCAAGAGAGGAAGTAGCAGAAGTATTGAGGTTCCCTTGTACCTTTGGCTTGCAGAGGTGAAGAAGCCCTCCGCGCCGGACATGGCGTCTTCTGACTCATCGGGGCTCCGCCGCAGAGCCGCCGGCCACGGCGCTGGACAGGGTGCTGGGTGCTGGTGTGGGCGCCGCCTTGGGCCGGACAATCTCACTGGCGAAACCAAAACAGGGCAGTTTGGATGGGCCGAATTCCGACCCAATTGATACTTCATCTTTTTTTGTGCACTAATTGATACTTCATCTGGTCACAAAACAAATTAAAAAAAATGAGGTTTTAAATTGTCAATTATTTAAGTTTTTGATTGATAATCTCTCCATTCCAAATTATAAGTCATTCTAATTTTCTTGGATGGTCAAAGCATCTCCCATTTGATCAAAATTATAGAGGGAATTACAAAAATTTATGACATCAAAATAGACATACTATGAAAATATAATTAATGAAAAATATAATGATACTTGTTTTGTATCATAAATGTTATTATTTTATTATATAAATTTTATCAAACTTAAGATGTTTTGACTCTCCAGTAAAATTAGAATGACTTATAATTTAGGATATGACGGAGTGAGTACAAATTTAGCGGAAGTAGATAAATATATACACACGCATAAACCCACCCGCGCACAAATACACACTATCCTTACAGAAGCACCTAAATTGGGCAGGTAGAATGGCAAACTAACCACGTGAGCTTAGCTTGTCGACAGGCTACTTGCTACCATTGAATAAATATCGTCGTTTCTTTCTTGAATAAAACTGCGAGCTTTTGTGCCCAGTTTGATACTTGAATTGCGTTCGACAGGTTTTACGTGAGAAAAAATCTAACCAACTGAGCTATGTTAGTTTGCTTGATACAAAGTTACCATGTCATAGTAAAGACTTTGGTTACTAGAAATACTTTTTAATGATGAGTTTTGGATTTTTGAAAATTGGTAAGAGTACATGTCTATGAAATAACAGTTCATATAAATATTATGTAACATAAATTATTAGTCAAAATTAGGTTTAAGAAGACCATGCTAATATAGAAAATCGTCACATTGCCGATATAAAATTTTTATAGCTACATCTATATATATCTAATAATAAAGACAAAGTGAATTCTCTATCTAAATTTTTTTTCCTTCCCCATAATGCTCTCACATCTCTACTGTCCCTCACGCCTGACCAATACTTTCTACACGTCACGGTGGCCACTTGGTGGTTTTTTCCCCCACATTTCCGATCCTACTAAAAGTGAAAATAAACTAACAAGAGAGAAGGTGTTCAGTCTTAAGAACGAAACTAGGGGTTCGTGTCCGTACGTTGCTACGGAACAACTAAACTTTTATACTAAAAACACGCGAATCGCACGATAAGATAACAATACTGTAAAATTAAATATCGACGTTAAAGTGACATTTAATCAAAAAGCAAAGTTCGTGAAATTAACACAGTCACGAAGAGCACGGCGTTGCAGGCTCACCAACTATAGACCTTTCTCTGCATTGCAATGGGAGCTTCTATGGGCCTTGAGAGTCCTTCGTGCGTACAGAATACATCTCTGTCTTCATGTTGGCCCTTCTCTCCCTCACCTAAATCCTCTATCGTTTTTAAAAATAATAATAAATCATCTATCGGTTTCATTAAGGTCACTACAAAGGTGGAGGAAAATCGCAAAAGAAACTATGCCATGGAATTCAAAAACTCGCACGTTGAAGAAAATTAAAAGAAAAATGAGAATTAGACCATAGAACAACGATTATTCTTTTAAGACAAAGATATATATTTGTTTGAATAATTAGGACTTAGTACACATGATTTGTTTACAGGATGAGAACGATCTTAGCAGAGATGCAAATCTTACATGGCCATGGACCTATTATTTAGACAAGATATGAGGAATGCTAGACAATAGGAGACAGAACTCACGAAAGGATCCCTTTCTACATTATGTATATTTACTACCCTGGAGTAGTTAAATTGAATATAAGATACAAGTTGTCAAGACAGCTATGGAGTTCTGAATTTTTTCTGCCCTAGGAACATGATTTTGAATAAATAATCCACTTAAACATTAGGGCAGACTTGCCCACTTTGCCAGCAGCAGTTAGCTTCAAAAATCAAGTGGCAGCCTCCCATGCAGAAGAATTAATACCAATAACATATGCCCAACCTTTGCAAGTTGCATTATCAAAGTAATGCAGTAGATTTTCACGAGATCTAGCTAAAGGATTAGGTTAAGGCTCTTGCAGTTCCGACTAATTGTTCTGAACTGTTGGGGACATCAGCTTCTATCTCAAAGATTGCGCTCTGTACCAGATCATCTTCAGAGTCTGATGGCTAAACCCACAAGGGTGATTGTAGTGAAACTTGCATCCATCTTGCCCTTTCTAGACATTGTTAAGACTCTCCCATGTCTAATTGTCTCAAACGATCTAGGTTTCTGAAATAGCAGTAGGAAGAGAAGAACCAAAGATGAAAAACAGCCTATGTAATAAACTTTACTACTACAGATAGGTAACCTAAAGTCCAAATAATAAAACTATATGTATTTCATCCATGAATTCAACACATACAATCAACATCATTATTAGGTAATGTTAATGATTAGCATTAAAGGAAAACATTAAGAAATATTTGGACATATCGTAGCAAACACAATTGAGTTCAGTTAACTATCTTTCCATCGCCTGGTTAAAACAGGACGTGGCCTAGGTAGGGCCCACCACTATCACAACCTGGGCATGGGGAAATAAGGCGCAACCGCACGCAAACGACCCCCGCCTTCCCAGGCAGGGTTTGTAAGGCCCCCCAATA